TTTGTGACTTATTTCTGAATTAAATTGAATGTTACAGAATTTTTGTTTGCTTGTGCCTGAACTCTTGACAGATTTTTATGCTATTTGGATGTAACTCTGATTGCAAGAAATAAATGTCTTTTTCTCTAATAAACTTAAATATTTGAATTTGCAGTTTTTGAGGAAGTTTTTGTCATTTAATACATAGATTAGCTCATCTCTCTTTTTTTTTCTTTTTCCTTAGGTTAATAGTAATGAACTTACAAATGGGGTAATAAATGCTGCCTTCATGCTCCTGTTCAAAGATGCCATTAGACTGTTTGCAGCATACAATGAAGGAATTATAAACCTGTTAGGTAAATATTGCTATAGTTTGTTGTTGTTGCTGTTCTTTTAAGATTTTATTTATTTATTTGAGAGAGGGAGAGAAAGCACAGCCAGGGGTAGGAACAGAAGGAGAGGGAGAGGCAGACTCCCCACTGAGGGAGTCCAGTGCAGGGCTCAATCTCAGGACACTGGGATCATGACCTGAATTGAAGCCAGACACTTAACACACTGAGCCACCCATGCCCCCCCAACACTGTTGTAGTTTAATAACATTTTATTTTTTTTTAATCTTGTGTCCTGTTGATAAATAATGTGTGAGTTGTTACTTAGAGCTGCCTAACCACTCGTTGGGTTATTGATGACGACAATTTATTTGGAGAAAAAATTTTTATACCTGATTATGGGTTAAGTGATTAAATACTTCTTTTTACAACTAGAAGGTTCAACTGGATGAAATTCATTTTTTTTTTTTTAAGATTTACTTATTTTAGAGAGAGTGAGAGTGTGCTTATGCACACACACGCGTGCACACCTAAGTGGGGTCGGGTGTGAGGGGTTAATGGGGTGAAAGGGGATGGAGGGGAAGAGGGAGAGAAACAAAGAATCCCTAAGCAGACTTCCCACTGAGTAGGGGGCCCTGTGCTGAACTTGATCCCAGGACCCTGAGATCATGACCTGGGCCAAAATCAAGAGCCAGCTGCTCAACCAAGTGAGCCACCCAGGTGCCCCTAGATGAACTTTGTTTTTTTACATATATCTGTGTTTTTTTCCTATTAGTTTTACTATTTTTTAAACTATAAAATCCCCTTAAAATTAAGTTGGAGTTTTTTCTCTGCCAGAAAAATCTTACTTCCTCACAATTCACTCCATAAAGAATTTTGATTGTAAAATAGATGTTTGTTCTAAGCCTAATTTTAAAATTGATAATTATTTTAAATGCATTAAACATTTATTTTTTGGGATGCCTTTTACTTTTGAGGTGTTTTAAGAATGTGTATATTCATTATATACAGAATGCAGTTCTATATATATAGAGAGAGAGAGAGGGAAAGAGTGCGGTTAATTTTGCCAAGAAATTATCATTTTTTTCTGTGGGACTTAGATGGAGTAGACAAATTAACAGTTTAAAGAGTACCTAAGTATCAAGTGTCAGGTATCAGATGTGTTCACTCCACTGTGCTTGTTTTCCCTCCCCTCCCCTTTAAAAAAATTTTTTATTTAAATTTGCTTTTTATGAGCTTATTCACAACTTACTTCCTTTAGGAATGTTTTAATTTATGATGATAGGGAAATTGAACTTACTGTTTCTTAGGTAAAAGAAGGTTTTCTACAGAGTTTTGGGAATCTGTCTTAAGACCCTGTGATTGGTATAAATGAAGCTCTTTGTTGCTGTTCATATAGTAAGTTTAAATAAGTTTTCCAGGTGACATTTGGACATGATAAAGTTGCCATCTTTGTTAATATGTTACTACTAAGAATATTTGGAAGGAGAAGTTAATGCTGTTTTAAATGGAGAAAAGTATAACGTGTTAACAAAAAATGCAAATTATATTTAGGGAATTGTGAGGTAAGAAATTTTATAAAACAAACCAGTAATATAGGCAAAGTCAAATGATTTTTCTGTTTTGATATAATAGCACCTCTGTTTTAATTTGCTTTAAATGTCTAAGCTAATATAACACTTAATATTTTTCCTGTAGGGTGAGTGTGTTCTCTGAGACACCTGTATTATCTCTTTGGGGCTATTACTTAATCCTTTTCCTTTTTGAGTGTTCTGTTTTGATGTGAACAAAAGCATTCTTACATTTACTTTTGGCAGAAAAATATTTTGATATGAAAAAGAACCAGTGCAAAGAAGGTCTTGACATCTATAAGAAGTTCCTGACTAGGATGACAAGAATCTCAGAATTTCTCAAAGTTGCAGAGGTAAACTGTCCTTAAGTTGACTGTGTCTCTTAACTTGCCTTTTTGTCGTTAAGTATAGATTTTAAAGAAATAAGGCATTGTCCAAATGAAAGAAACATCTTAAATATAATGAAGTATATAGTTAGTCATATCCATATGCTGTTGTTGAATCCTTTGTTATGGTATGAATATGATGTGATATTGAATAAGATCCTGTATATTTAATTCATTATTCAATATTGAAAGGTATCTATTTTTAAATTGTTTATTTCTCTGCAAAATCAGGTAGGTGGTACATAATGGTGGCAGAGATTTTTATGTTTGGCATTAGCCATGTATTTTAGCATATTTGTCCTTGTATGTGATAGAGAATATTCAGTGTTATTGCAAGTCTTTTTCCTCCAGTGAGACTTGTAGATAGGGTCACATGGTTCATAGAGTTTTGTTCCCCCTACAGAAGTGAATTTAGTGTATATATTATTTATCATTGATTATGAAAACCACGAATGTAAGTTGTAGGATAATTTTATAGATCTATTTAAAAAACAATTTTCTGGATTTCTAGAATAGTGTTACACTACTTTAAAGTGTTCTTTTCCTTTTCTTTTTTTTCATTCCTCAGTCTAATGTATTAATGGCAAATATAGTTTAATAGAAAATTTTCCTCAAGAGGTTTTTTTTTCCTGTAAGAAAACACAGAATATTTTAAAAGAATGTTAGCCTGAGCCAACAATTTAATTTTTAGTGAGCTCATTACGAATGATAAACTTTAAGATAATTCATAATAACATTTCTGTATCAATCTATAGAAATTGTTCTTAGCCATCGACTGATAACCTCTCCGCATTTTTTCCCCATGACACCCAGAAAATGTTTTTTCCCTAGTGTGGTTTTAATTCTGCATTGGGGTGTTATAAACTTGGGTGCTTATGTCCCGAGTTTGAACCCTGATTTCAGCTATACCATCTTGATACAGGTGTTAATCTTGGCATCCCATGGTTTCCTCATCTGTAAAAGGGGTTTTCAATAGTACTTACCTCACTGGTTTGTTGTAAAATTGCGCAGAACAGTATCTGACTTCTAGTTTGTGTCCTGAAGACATTTGCCATTATTTTTATTCTCTGCCACCTTGAGAAAGCACTTACTGGAATGCAAATGAATGTCAGTAGTGGTCTTTTAAGGATAATTAATCTAATATATATTTTATAGGAATATTATATTATACATTTATATTTTCCAATGAAAAGAAAGTAATCTATAACCTTCAGTTCAGAATCCAGCAGATGTCCTATTTTGAGAACTCTTGGTCCAAGTAATTTTTTATCTGTATTGATGTGTACAAAGGATTTTTACAGGTAGCTGAGTGGTGTTTGAAAAGTGTAGTTCATTAATTTTGGCAAATAAAGGAAGGATTTAGTTAGTTTAGACCAAAATATTTTACTTTTAAGTTGTTTAAACTGTCCTAAACATCCTCCTGAAGAATTTATCTTTTGCCAGAAACCATAATAAAAATAATAAAAAGCTAATAAAACCCTGCTTTTAAAAAAATAATTTTCTGGCATTGTCACAGAAGGCATTTGTGTTGTGGTAATGCTTACAGGCATTGCACAGAGCTTGCACAGAGGTAGCTTTCAAAGTTTCTGTTTTCCCTTTTTGTACACTCTACCCGTCACCAGTAGAGATGTCTTGCTAGGACAATTTTGGATGATGACTGGGCTATAACTGGTCAGTTATATCAAAGTAGTTAATGTGGAACTAGCAAGTTGGTGAGTCTAGCTCTATTACCATGGTGGTATTTCATTCTGTAGCAGATGAAATAGAATAAAACTGGATGATGAGACCTTTGAAGAAAATAGCTTTACGTTAGCTCTTTTATGAAGTCCACTGAAGTTTGTATTGGATTTAGAGTATCTCTCAAGGAGAAATCAGTGTATTTTTTTTTTTTTTTTTCATTTCTTTTGGGTAAGTCATATACTAAAATAAGAAGAAGGTAGCATTTGGGACCCCAGGGTGGCTCAGTTGGTTAAGTGCTCCCCTTCCGCTCAGGTCATGATCCCTGGGTCCTGGGATCTGGTCCACATCAGGCTCCTTGCTTGGCGGGTAGCCAGCTTCTCCCTCTGCTTCTGCCTGCCACTCCCCCTGCTTGTGTGCACTCTCTCTCTCCCTCTCTCTCTTTCTGACAAATAAATAAAATCTTTAAAAAAAAAGTACTGTATTTACTATGTTTCCAATAAATTCTTAAATGTTTTAATTTGTTGACTTTTCCCTTTAGCCTCTTACGTTCTTTGCATTTGATAGTTGTAGTTATTGACTTTAATTTTAAGCCTTTATTTACCTCCAGTTCTTCTGGTCTGAGATGAAATAGACCATCTGCTCCATATGATATGAGAAATAAAATACTCTTTCATGAGACTGTCTTTGGGCTTGCAGATTGTGACAGCATAGCTTACATAGGTGCTCAGAAGATGCGGAGATGGTAACTTAATAGTCTTATTGAATTTCAGCCTCTAGTTCTCCGTTTATGACTTTCAGAGCCATTAAAGAACATCTAAGCCCTTGGGAATATTGAATGATACCTCTGGATATTAAATAGTCTTCTGATTTTAAAGATTATCTAGAATATTGTTCGCAGTACTATCTGTAAATTTCATTTTCTAAATTTTTAATACTTCTTTATTATAATTTTGTTTATTGAATACAATGCTTCTGCTTCTTGCAGCAAGTTGGAATTGACAGAGGTGATATACCAGACCTTTCACAGGTAAATATATTGCTATAATATCATTTCACTGTCTCCTGTCTTTCCCTGTATTGCTAGGTGTGAAGGGTACAAAGATGAATAATATGCAGCTCCTGCTGTCAAGAAGATCAGTGTAATTTTCTTGGTAGATTTTAACATGATACATTGTCTACTGTTGTGCTAGCATTTTGATCTCTTCATCTCTTATGTTGGTGGAGCTATCCATTACTATACCATTCCTTTAGTTTATTCCCTTTAATTTCCAAGTTCAAAGCCCAGTTTTAATTTAGGATTCTGTAGCCTGGTAGTTAAATATCTAAACGTTCAGCTCAGGTGTACCTTAGACTATATGTGATCTTAGGCAAGATACTTAAATTTCACTGTCTGAGATTGTTCATTTGTAAAATGGATATAATACTAGTGTCTTCCTCATGGACTCAGTAATTACATACAAGGTAGTTAGCATGGGTCTGTTGTGCTATAATAGCTTTTTAAATGTTAATCACTGTCAACATTCTCATCTCTGACGAGAGCTCCTGGGAGTCTTAGACATTTTGTTGAGATTAGGGAGTGGTGTACATGTGTACTCAGTTCAACATAGTTAATGTTATAATCCAGTATTTTTGGTTTTAATTGGTTTTCTACTATATCTTTCTTGTACTAAGGTAAGGTCTTGTATATAGAGAGAAAATGCAGATTGAAGGAAATTGTGCAAGTTGTAATTGGTAGAGAGATTGAGATTCCTGTAATCCAGTAACTCTTTATCTCAAATCCTAAAGATTACTTGGGGCAAGTAAATGCCACTGATGCATTTGCTTCACTAAAAGGTAGTGAACAGTTTCTTTTCAGCTCACTGAAAAGGTTTCCTTTCGAAAGTAATTAGCTCTTCATATTAAGTTAAGATTTGCTATATAGCCTTTAAAGGCCAGTCTTTGTTTTTTAAAATAAAATTAAACTAAATATCTGTTTCACTGGAATTTGATAAACTGTAAACATTTGCGTTATCAGCACACTGTTAAATATAAAAATCAGTTCCATCACCCCAGTTCTCAGGTCCCCCTCTGGTCACTACCTAGTCCTCTCCATAAATCACTGTTTTGATTTCTAATAACATAATTTTTTGACATCTTAAATGTAATATAAATAGAATCTTGCAAGTATTTTTCTTCTTTCTGCCTTTTGCTCATCATAGTGTTTGGAGTTCTGTCAGTCTTGTGTGTACCATTAATTTACTCCTCTTTATTGCTGACTAGTATTTCACTGTGCGACTTCACAATTTTGTTTATCCATTTTCCAGATGATGGACTGTGGGATTATTTGTAATTTTTTACTGTTGTTAATAAAGCTACTAAAACATTCTTGAACAAGTCTTTTCGTGTGGAGATAGTTATTTATGTCTTTTGGTCAGATAATTAGGAATGGAATTGGGTAGTTAAGCTAGGTGTATATTTCATATCATAAAAAAATTTCAGATCCTTTTTCAAGGTGGATGAATTCCAACCAACATTGTGTAAGAGTTTCATTTGTTCCATATCTTCACCAGTGTTCCATGTTGCTAGTCGTTAACTTGAGACATTCTAGTGGGTAAAAAATTGTATCTCATTGTGATTTTTAATTGGCATTTTCTTGATGCTGTTCTGTAGTTTCATTTCTCAGTAACTGTTCAAAGATAATGTTTGCACACTTTCAATTACTCAACAAGTACTTATTAATTACAGGGAATGGGCCCAACAATATGTTTAGCTTTTAGGAGTATGTTTTTATTTAAAATTCAAATAAATATTTAAAAAAGTAATTACTTGCAGGAACCTCTCTTAATGTTTCATGTTTACATAGTCTCAGTTTTTATATTTTTTATTACGTTTATTAATACCCCTTACTATGTCATGGTTATATAATAAAAATAACTCCACTGTTAATTAGTTTGTGAGGAATATACCTATTTGTTACTCTCATATGTTAGATAATACTTAATTTTTTTTTTTTTTTGACCAGTGGCCTAATGATCATGAAAATATTATCTGTACAATTTTAGGCCCCAAGCAGTCTTCTTGATGCTTTGGAACAACATTTAGCTTCCTTGGAAGGAAAGAAAATCAAAGATTCTACAGCTGCAAGCAGGTACATTATTCTTGGTAGGGCAAAGAGCAGGAGTGATGTTTCTGAGAAAGTTGATGAATCCCTCTTAAATTCCAAGTTACTTAACTTCCCCTTATCTTGATTAATCATTTATAAAATGTGCTTAATAGTATCTCACCTCATAGAGTTGCTAAGGATTAAATGCATTAATACATGTAAATTTTTGGAATAGTTCCTGATCTTCAATAGATGGCAGTATCTCTTAAGATGATAAAACTGACTACATGGTTTGCAATGGTATTCATAGTGTCAGTATTTCTCTCAAAGGTGATAGTATATTGGGTCACCTGGCTGGCTCAGTCAGAAGAGCATGCGACTCTTGATCTTGAGGTTGTGAGTTTGAGCCCCACGTGGGGTGTAGAGATTACTTAAAAGAAATAAAACTTAAAAAACTGAGCAATAATTTTGAAAAATAAAACTTTTTAAAAAAGTGGTAACGCATCGATTCATATGGTGTCTAGTAATTTTCAGATGCCCTTTTACAAATTTGATTAACCTCCACTGTAGGCCAGTGAAATTTATGCACTAGTAATTCTGGGACTCAAACCTATGATGTCTGATGTCAAATTTCATCATCTTTCTCTAATGCCAGTTGATTATTGACATATTTAAACAGCTTTTGAGCTGATTTCTAAGACTGAAACCAGTCAACCTTGAAAATAGCACAGATCATCTAATACTGACTGTGTAACATGAGTTTTGTATTGGGTAGTGACTTGAGTAATTCTCATTTTTTATTATGATGATTTTCTTTTAATAGCATGAAAAAAATTTGTGTAAAATATTTATAATGAGAGCCTTCTTTTTCTTTAGACTTTTTGTTTATTTCACAATTATTTTTGGGGGGGTAACAAAATTTAATTTTTTAAAAAGATTTTATTTATTTATTTGACAGAGATCACAAGTAGGCAGAGAGGCAGGCAGAGAGAGAGGGGGAAGCAGGCTCCCCGCTGAGCACAGAGCCCGATGTGGGCCTTGATCCCAGGACCCTGGGATCAAGACCTGAGCCGAAGGCAGAGGCTTTAACTCACTGAGCCACCCAGGGACCCCCAAAATTTAATTTTTAAAGGAAAATGTTATTACTGGATTTTAGTACTTTTTAATTCAGATTTGTTCTTTGAATTTTCTGGTAGGTTTTTAGAAGCATAAGCCAAATTATATGGCTCACTTACTTGAGAAAATAATGAAAAATAAAGTCAAATAGTTCAGGTGTATATTGATTTAACCTCATACTTTTTTATCATAAAATTTGCTGGGTTTCTTGCATTTCTGTCACAACTGTATTACTCTTCCCTTCTAAGTTGTATCTTTATAAAGTTGATTTTACAAAAAATTTGAATAGTTTTGCCACTTACATGCTTAGAATAGAAATTAATGATTGGTGTGTGATAAAAGGAAAATGAGTAAAGGTTACTGAGTAGTAGTTCTTCAGGTTAGAATTCTTTACTACATGGGTTTATGGTGCTTAAAATTGACATTTGAGAATTTAATGTTGTTGGAGTCTGTGGTATGGATAAGGTTTGAATACATAAGGAAAAGGAGGTGATCTGCCAGTGAGAGATGATGCATTCTACATGTGTGACGTTTGAAAAGGAAATTCTGGCTTGGCAAAAGACTAGCACATAGAAAGGAAGTGCCAGGTGGACTAATGACTGAAATAAAATTGATCTTCCTTTAAAGGAACCTGTGGTCCTCTGGGAACGACATCTTTGGGTGTTATTACACGGGAAACATCTAGACACGTATTATTTGTTACTGGTACTCATATTTTAGTGTTTCTATAGTAGTACTGCCAAAATCTAGGCTGTAAATTAGCAGAGTAATTTCCTGTGAGAAAGTCAATACATTTGACCCATAAGGCTTTTTCTGGGAGCACAGGAGCTCTTTCCTAATTGCATTGGTTCCCTCCCTTGGGACTTGGAAAAAGCAGTGTCCCTTAATGTTATTGTGAACCCTTTCCAAAGTCTAACCGTTAAAAAAGCAGTGAATGTTTGTATAAATTAGCTAATTGCTAATAATCCTGTGGGTAGAATATTTCATCTGAAGTACTGATTTTTACTCCATAAGGTAAGTTCATAATTGTAGTGCTTATCCATGGCCATGTTTCCAGACCATTTCATAAGTATGTTGCAAAAAGCCAAATTACCTTTGTCCAATTACTCTAGGGCAACAACACTTTCCAATGCAGTTTCTTCCTTGGCAAGTACTGGCCTGTCTCTAACCAAAGTGGATGAGAGGGAAAAGCAGGCGGCATTAGAGGAAGAACAGGCTCGTTTAAAAGCTTTAAAGGTAGGTGTTTGCATTCTCTGTATTGGGAAAGCAAGTAAAGGTGTTCATCAAGTAATTGGGACCTCTAAATAGACTAACAGTATTTCATGTATAGTTATCCAGATGGGGTGAAACTCAGTAGTCGGATTTTTCATCCTGACATTGAATGGCTGATAAAACAGAGAATACCTTTCTGCTATCAGAACAAAATTAGATAATACTTTTTTTTCCAAGGCCTTAAAACAAAATCTGCTTTCTGGATTCCTTATGCTAGTTTCTTTTCTCAACAGGAACAGCGCCTAAAAGAACTTGCAAAGAAACCTCATAGCTCTTTAACAACCGCAGCCTCTCCTGTGTCCTCCTCAGCAGGGGGTATAATGACTGCACCAGCCATTGACATCTTTTCTACTCCTAGTTCTTCTAACAGGTATGTGGAGGAGATAAAGGTTACCTTTGAATATTTAGATTTAAAGATAGACTTCTCATAGAAATGTTACAGAACTTTTCAGATTTAGTTTAATTTGTGATTTTGTATTCATAAATTCACACAAAGGAAGTGATAATAGTTGGTGATAGTGATATAATTAAGAGTTTATGTTTTGCATATTTAGGAGATGAAAGATGGCTGAGTTACAAATTCATACTAATTGGAATGTAGCAGGTTATCTCTGTGCAGCTGTTTCATTTATGTACATGGATATGTAATCTATTTCACAGTATTCTTTCATTGGATATTAAATTAAATCTCTTTGATCTCTGTTCTCAGGTGTTAAACTCAGTAATCTGGAACATAGTAAGAGTTTAGAGTTGCCAGGTTTCTGTGGCAATTGAAGCCTACCAGACTAACTTCAGTAATCTTGTTGTGTAATTAAAGCTGCTGAACAGTGGAAGTTAATATTTCCAGGCAAATTAGAATAATTGGCTTTTTCTAAATTTGTCCTGTCTTTTACCTCGGAGTGGTTTAAAGTCTTAAGTTTGGAATTCAGATTCTGGTTTGAATCCTTGCTCTGTTTGTTCTTCTGTTCTTTCATTCCTTCTCTCTTTTTCTTTTCTTTCCTTTTTTTTTTTTTTTTTTTTTCTATCTCTATCTCTGTCTCCAAATAAGATGTATGGTACAGTTCAGTGGTTCTCAATTTTTAATAAGCATCAGAATCACCTGGAGAGTTTCTGAAGCCATAGATTTTTGAGTCTCACCCCCAGAGTTTCTGATTCAGTAGTTACAGGGGTTTTTCATTGCCAGCAGACTCCCAGGTGGCTAGTATAGGATTTAGCACAGTTCTTAACTAGCACATGGTAGATGCTCCACAGAGAGAGATAGGGTTTTCTTTAATGTTGTTATTGTTGTTGTTTATTTTATTAACTCATTCTTATAACATCTTCCCTCCCATTTACTGAGTCCACTCATAGCTCAGTATAACTTTTACTCAGTTGCTACCTCTTCCCTAAAGTCTTAATAGATGCTTGTTGAATCGTTGTTGGTTTTTTTTTTTTCCCAGCTTTGTATTTTTTGTTTATTTTGTTTTTTAATTTATGTGCTACGTTTTTAGAATCCTTCTTAAATAACATGAAGTGTCCCTACTTGGAGACCTTGGAAAGAAGTCTGTCTTAGGAGAGATAAATGGAAAAGATCTTGAATGTTTGAGAATTAAACAAATTATTAGATAAAGAACTAATTTGACTATGTTTTATTTCACTTAATACACTCAAAGTTTTTACCTTTTTAATTGTAACTGAGGGCAAGTCTTATAGCCTATTATAAAATGCTTTATTGCCTGTTCTTTTTTTTCTCAAGGCATTAAATGCATTTGTATTTTTACTTACCTGTCAAAACTATTTTATATGTCTAAAAGGCATTTTGTTTTTGAGTAAATAAAAAATGATCTGTGCTATAGTACACACAATGCTTCAGTTCATGGGAACTCTAGGATCTTTGTTTGAGTTGTTACTCCTTAATCACATAAAAGTCTTACATATCGTGTAAACAGTGCCTCCAGAGTTGTGTAATAGGTTGACTCTGTTGTAAGTTTATATCATGTATGCATGCATGATTTTTTCCTATATTGTTGGTATATTTGGATATTGAAGCAATAGAAGGAAGTTAACAGGTATTTTTACTTCACTAAAGGTATTAGTATTACCAGTGTAATTGAAGTTCTTTGAAGATTAAAAGAAAACAAATTTCCTTACAAATATTAAAATTGCCAGGATATTTCATATTTCAGAATCGTGTTGTTTAGCTTCATTTCAGTGAAGAAATCAGTATTTTCCTGGGGAAGTCACTGATGCTTTCCAGAAGGGCTATAATTATTTGAATCCTATATAAACTTAAAATACGGTACATGAATTTTTTCCCCAAACCTCCTTAGAAATACACTGTTATAAGTAAAAACTTGCTGTTAAATATATAAAGGATATGCAACTATTACCTTCCTGAAAGTGTTCCTCCTTTTGAGGTTTACATTACTTGGCCTTTTTTCACTTTTAATGTTTTTTATTTACTGGGCAGGAGAAAGGGAGTGGCTGATAGAGCAACGTTTACCTAATAAATAAATAACTCATCTTTTCAAAATATTTTCCTAGCACATCAAAGCTACCAAATGATCTGCTTGATTTACAACAGCCAACTTTTCACCCATCTGTACTTCCTATGTCAACTGCTTCTCAGGTAGCAAGTACATGGGGAGGTAAGCATTAATGAATTCTGCTTTTTATGTTGTATAGGCCACTCCCTTTCCCATTCTGTAGTGTTCTACTTATTTGTGTAGTTTTTGGTTACACTTGATAAGTGAGAATTTCAAAAATATTACCATGGCATTGAGGTCATTTTGTTCCTTGAAGACATTTTCATGTATTTGTAAATGTAATTTTGGAATTTCTGTTCAATTAAATTATGAAAAGTTTTAATAAAGGTGAAGAGGAAGGTCCCAGTGTATGTTGAAGTATGAAATCATTCTTTCAGTGTTGAGTAACTGTTCCATAATCAGAAAATGCCCAAGGGTTATTTTGTTTTTGGTATAGGGAAAAAAGTGACTTACGGGAGAAAGAAAACTTCTGTCATGTAAATATCTGATAAGGTTCTAATAAAACTCACATGGTGTTATCAAGTAGTAAACTATGTTCTGACTGGGACTGTCATGACAATCTTTATGTTACTTGTATTTAAAACTTGTAGTTAGTTGAGACCTACAAGATTTTGGTACTCAAAGAATTTTCCCCTAATAGTAACAGGAATGTTTGCTGCCCTGTAGTAGTTATTGATCTTAGGGTGACTATATCATGATCATTGACCTAGCATCTTTGAGGGATTTTACCTAGTCCATGTCAATTTTTAAGCAGTTTTGCATAGACATATAGTATGTTTTCAAATTATTTCATTTGGTTGGTTGTGATGCTTCTGTTATGTAAGTATTATTTTATGAACACTCAAAAATTATTTGCTAGTAAAAGGGGAGATACTCTGAGCAAGGATACTGTCTATAGAATAGGGAATGGCAAGCTACCTTAAAGTTTTATTGGTTCACATGTAAAATCTGAATTGATCAGCTTACTTCTCATAGCAAGATAAAGTTAATTATTCTCAAGAATCTTTGTTAGTATAAATTAGACTTGTTTCCTCTATATTTTAATGATTCAAGTTCTAAGAACTTTTTTTCAGTTTTTATAGTTAAATCTTGAGGCTCTGTGTAGTATAATAGAGCGCAGTCTCTGAAGGCAGGAGTTTTTATTTTGTTCAGTGCTATATTATCATTGCCTACGACACTGATTTTTAATAAGTTTGTTGAATGAGTGGATGTTTTCTTTTTTTCTGGACAGGTTATTTCTGGTTCAGGATATGGCAGGTAACAGAAATAGTAAAATGCTAAAATATTAGATTTCTAGACAAATCTTGTTAGTCATGACTGGATTAAAAAAAAAAGATTTAGAAGATTAGTTTAGCTAAATCTTAGGTTCTCAGAGTTAATTTCTAAAACTGATAAACTAGTTTAAAGTCAATAAATATTTTAGAATTTTTTATCTGAGTGAAACATAGCAAATTTAGAAAGTAATTTTTTAAGATCCTAATCATATATCCTAATTTTAGGATTTTTAATCTGGCAAAATTTACATGCTTATTTTCTGCTTACTGTGAATTGTTTTAGAAGTTTAGTAGAATTGACATGACCATGTAAGCAGTTTTAGCTTGCTCCACACCCCCCCCACAAAAAAAGAAACAAAACAAGTAGTTATTTCCTAAATAGATGAGAAATTTTACAGAAGTCTTAGTGAGAACTAATACATTTCAAAGAAACTGAACTGTGAAGTTATTTTATTTGGACACCATATATAGTTAATTCTAATAATTAACAAATTAAAAAGTTTTGGCTTGGGATTATTGAACTCCTATGAAGGCAGATAGACTATTTTTGTGGGAGAATAATTTCACGAAATTTCAGCCTGTAAAAGTTGTTTAATGTCCTGTTAAAAGAACTCATTTCATAGCAGTCTGTGGGTGAATACTGTATGTCGGAACATACTTAATTCTGTCTTATTTTTCTGTTTTAGGTTATTTTTCTCTTGCTCCTATTTCCATCAAAAATTCCTTCATATTTTAGCATTAGGCTTGTTATATACAAGTGAGACCATTAAAAGTACTAAAAATACAAATCAAGTATGGTGGGAACAGAGGCTATAGCAATTGACCATTATTATTCCAAAAGCTTATCATTATATATGAGGAAAGGACAGTAATGTTTACTGTGAACCTCTCAGCTTAAGAATTAAATCTTGTCTTGGGGCACCTGGGTGGCTCAGTGGGTTAAGCCTCTGCCTTCGGCTCAGGTCATGATCTCAGGGTCCTGGGATCGAGCCCCACATTGGGCTCTCTGCTCAGCGGGGAGCCTGCTTCCCCCTCTCTCTCTGCCTGCCTCTCTACCTACTTGTGGTCTCTGTCTGTAAAATAAATAAATAAAATCTTAAAAAAAAAAAAAGAATTAAATCTTATCTTGACTTTGATATAAAGATAATTGATTTCTGAGCCGATGATAATTTCAGAGTTTTGACTTCTGCATGGATACCTGAGGAGTGTTTTAAGTCAAGAACTTTGAATACTTCCTAAATCAGTCAGTATATTTTTTATATACAGGACATTTGGATTAAGATTTTTTACTTTATTTTTGAAATTAAAGTTAGATTGAGATGAATAAATAAATCATATAAGTAAAAGGTTTTGATCATAACAGTAAAGTGTTAAGTTTTTTTAAATTAACCATTTACCTAAACATTTGAAATATGTAACATTTTAACATCATGCTGCTTTTATAGCATGTGGCAAAGCAAAGGTATGATTTTTTGATAATCCTAAAATTTTACTCTGTGTTTATCTTGCTTTCATTTGCTAAAATGGTTTTTAATGGCAGAGTTAGTACTTTTTAAAACAGATTTGGCATTAATTTAGTTCTTACCATAAAGCACCACAGAGATGCTGTGTATTCCCAATCACAGGTAGTTAGTGATGCTGAATTAAAGGGAAGTAAGGTTTGACTGTTTATTTAAAAGGCATTTAAGAGTCCACCTATAAATGAACTGAAAGAGAACACAAGCTCTTCTGTACCCCTCACTGCATTATTAATGAGCCTTTGATTTTTCAAAAAATGGTCTGGAGTCTGAATAGGCACTTCATGTTGAATACTAATATATGAGAAGATTTAAGTTTATATCACCTTTAAAACTTTGTGTTATATCAAATCTAAAAATGAACAATATTATCAGCTCAGTACACTGATATATGTCTTAAGCTAGATTTTAGAATTTAATTCAGGCAAAAAAGAATTACCATTCTGAAGTTAAATTTGCTTTACTCTCCACTGGCATGAAACACACAATGCTTTAGGGAAAACTTATTTGTGTCAATATAGGTATCCAGTATTTAGGACCTTGGCATTATAATATGTCTGCTATATTAATCCTCAATTTTTTGGGATTGTTTTTCTTTGACTGTTGTAACATAAAAACTTTTCTAGTAAGTAATATAGGAATAATGGGAAAAAATATTTTTTAAAATAAAAAACTTATTTATTTATTTATTTATTTTTCATTCGCCAGTCTAGTGAATAAAGTTTAAGTTGGGGTAGTTGGAATGTTATTTTCTTTTAATTGTAATGGATTTGTTTTTATTATTAGTAGCACAGTATCCACTAACAGATTAACATCATCTATATTATCTAATAATTCTGTCAAGTAGATTAAGAACTGTTTTTTCTTACTGTCTAAACCTAAATACAGTCACACTTGCTTGTTTCTGCATATTCTTCTCTAAGATGTTTCATATAATAGAAAATGATTGATAATAAGTACTAAGGTAAAACTCAGTCATTCATCAGAGCAGCAGATAACTAATGACTTTCCCCAAACATGTCTTTTCTCATAAACTAATAGATCTGTAATAGCAGAATGTATTTTTTCGAGTGACTTCTCTCATGGCTTCTTTTGCATCAAAAACTAGAGATGTTTTGGGTCCGACCATGTATGAAATACTTTAAAAACCTCATGCCACTATTCAGTATTTTAAAATAGTACTTTGAACAAATTGATGAACTCTAAACAATGCATCCCCTTCTTTACGCAGAAAGGAGTTAGAGTGGTCATCATTATATTTTTTTTTTTCTAGCACAGAAAACCTTTTTCTTGTTATCTATTTTCTACTTCTTATTTCTTAATTACTTTTTTGGATTCTTTTCCCCCATCGTTCCATTTATTAAGGAGTGGGAGATGGAAAAGGTGTTGAACATGATCGTTTTAGTTTGAATACTGTATCAGTGAATTTTGATACATTTGTAAGACTTTATTTTGGGGTGTAAATTGATGTTCTGTAGGAATACTTCCTAGAAAAGGGTCCTGTGTGATTAAAAAAAAAAAATTAAAAGTTTTAAAAAATGATTCTGTATAAGCCAGTGACCTCAATATTTTCTTGCTATTTCCTTTGTTAAATAGTTGTAGGGTTTGTGGAGCGCCTGCTTTGAATTTATTGACTTCAGGAAAAAGTGTATTTGTAGTGAATGAGCTGGTCCTTAGGCTATTTTTGTGTTCTTATTGTTTTATCATACAGTCTTAGAGTAAAATACAGTGCTTAATAGCATATTGTTAAGTGAGCATCACGAACTATAGTAGACAAGAACAGGCTTCTGGTTAAAAGTATAGAATGTAGAGGTTAGGAGGGTTTTTGCTGCTAATGATGAGTGGTTTTTAGTCATTAGAATGGTGATTATCTTGAATGAGGTTTAGGTATAGTAAATATCTGATTCTAAAATAACTTTAGAGGTAGGATTTGATAATAATACACATTTGGTACCATCCTAATATGGAATAGTACTTTTGTTACTACTTTAGCAAATCATTTAAAGCCTTAATGATTTCGCTTTAGAACTCTTAACTGGACCTTCATTGTGGTTCCCAGTCTATGAAATGGCCACCATTCTTTTGTCTCTATTCTTAAAATTCCTTTCCTGTTTCTAAATCATTAGACCTTTTCTTCTTTATTTTTTTAAATTTCTACCTCTGAACCTATTTAAGACTTACCCACATGTTATAAATAGCCCTTTACCCCTAATTTTCTTTGTTTTTTGATATTTTACTTATTCCACACACATACTATACTGGTTGTTTATATCTTTCAATTTAATTAACATAGGTATGCCATGAAAGCCAATACATTTCCATATAGGGTGGGGAACACGGTCCAGGGTGGGTGGCTCTTTTATCGATGCATTTTGGTTATTTTCTTTTTTACCTATTGGCTTCCTGATGTTGGAGAGCAGATCTGTCCTTAGTATGCTACAGATGTTAATTGGACACATTAATGTTTTCTTCTGAGGATTCATTTTAAAAGATGTTAAATGTAGTGCTTCCATCTTGATGACAATGATTAGGTATTTTGCACTTAAGATTAATAAACAATAATATAGCTGCTACTTTTCACTTTGCATCTTTTGACTAATTACAATACTAATTAATTTACTTCCTTTCTTCATTTTGCTGTAATGCACTTGGACTGCACAGATCCTTTCTCTGCTACTGTAGATGCTGTTGATGATGCCATTCCAAGCTTAAATCCTTTCCTCACAAAAAGTAGTGGTGATGTTCACCTTCCCATTTCTTCAGATGTATCCACTTTTACTACTAGGACACCTACTCATGAAATGTTTGTTGGTAAAGTACCATTTAACCTTTCTTTCCAATTAATGTTTATACTGCCTAAGTATTTTTTACATATTCATTAATTATTTTTAAGGCGCTGCAATAATTATTTTGGATTTTATTATCAAATTTTAAAATAAACTAAATAATAATGTAGTGACATTTTAAAATTAGTATCCCTAATTTTATTTAATCCAAGTTTTTAGGAAAGAAGATTTCCTTTGAAGTTGTGGATTGGTGTTTTTGTTTTTTGATTTTCTTTTTTTTTAATGTGTTGTTTCCCATCATAGTATAGTGTGATACTCAAGCTGTCTAACATCATTTACCACATTTCCCCCCCATGTTTTGTTTATTAATTCAGAGAGTTGGCTATAGGGTAACATCTCTTACACTTACTAATATGTATGTACTTATATCTTTCCCTCTTTGTTTAGGAGAGAGGATGGTTATCATTCTCAGTAGCTATCTTTTTTTTTTTTTTTTTGAACTGTGAATAGTACAGTTGTAGATTGTCTTAAATCCATACATACCCTCTGTCCCATTCTTAAGGGTTTCACTTCATTGTTAGCCTGGAGATAAATGACAAGTAGAAAATGAAAACAACTAAATCGCCTTTAGTTGTGGTATAAAAATCTGTAAAAAGGTAAAATTTCACTCCAGACTTACACAAGGAAATCTAAGTTTGTCAATATATAGTAACCTGAAATTAACAATTTTCATTCCTGTGAAAAGATTCTGAACACCTCTTAAAAGATGATGAAACTGCTTTTATTCACTTCAGAGAAACAGCTTTTAAGGTGATGTAAATTTAAATCTGTGTTTAAAGCAGCATGCTGAAAGTCAACTGTGTACCCTAAATAGACATGTGGCCACATTCTGAACATTCTGTTCGATACATATGAGGAGGTGGAAGAGAGGTGACTAAAAAAGAGTAGTTGGAGATTTTAGGAAGTTCCAAGGCAGGTGCTGTCATTATATATAACTAGTCTCTTAGCTCCAAATTCTAAGAATTAATTGCAGGCATTCCTTCATGTCATTGTAACATACTACAAATTAAGTAAAAAGTGGTTGAAACTAAATTTCATATTTTGCTACTCTTCAGAAAATTTGTGAAATGCTGTACCTTATTTGCTTGGTAAAAAAGGTTACTTGAGTTAACCTTGGAATGTGGTTTTCTAATAAGTTTATATTTTCTTTATACTTATTGAATATGAAGTAGCATGTATTTAGTGGGTCTGGCTTCTTGTACCACTAAGTCAGTTGCTTTAATTGGGGGTATGAAACAGCTATGTCTTTACTTTTGGTCTTACAATATCTGTCTTTTAGGTCAGACCAGTACATGTGCTTCAGTATGTCAGTCTTCTCTTCACCCTAGAGGGACATAATGCTATAGGCTATAGCTATTTCACATTGAAACAGAACCAGAGTAAAAATAGAAACAATTCTGTGAGAGTTAATTATTACTTACGCTTTTCAAGGAAACCCTTTAACAGAAGAAATGTACTAGAAAAGAAATGTCCTTTTCCTAATGTTTTTTTAAGTTAATTTAAGGCCTTTGGGTTGGGGCAAGAGGAAGACCAAAAAGCAAAGAAAGTTAGTAAAGTTTATGGCCATATATGCTAAGGTGAGTAGGTGCATTTGAAGATTAAAATCCTAGAATTGGTGATTTTAAGCTTGTGAGGACCTCCAGAGAATATTTGGTCAAGTTCTCAACTCTCATATTGGTAACAGAATTACTACCATTTTTATGGATGGTAATAAATACAATCATGTGAGTCTGAGAAAAGTTAATGTCCTGAGACAATCTGGCTGATAGGAGCAAAAGCTTGAAGCAGGAGTCCAATGTCTTTGCTTTACAGAGCCCTTTCCTTATGGAAGTGTTGACTTTATTTAAACTCTTACATTCTTTGAGTGTAAATAGTATAAATGAAAGTATAAAGTATACTTAAAAAAATATTCATCTGTCAAGTTTTAACATTAGCAAAAACTTACTGTTTAGTACTTGCGTTTTTATAAAAGTGAGTCTAGAATGGGAAAATGTAAATCATTCATGTCAACCTAGGCCATTAGTCTAGAACAAGAATCAGCAAACCTTTTCTTAAAGGAAAGAAATATTGTAAATATTTTTGGCTCATGAATCGTATAGTCTCTGTTGCAGCGACCAGCTTTGTCATAGCATGAAGGTAGCCATAGACAAAACATAAATGTGCATTTGGCTGTGTTCCAGGAAAACTTTATTCATGAAGACATGCAGCTGTAGTTTGCTAATGTCTGTCCTAAGAAGAGGCTTTATAATAAGCCTTTTAATCCTCATCAAAAGTTCCTGAGAAGTAAGGTTGTATAATAAAAATTCCAACAGTTTCTTACTCAGAGCATGAAAGGGCCATCCAAGGTATGTCATTCCTACAGCTGTGTTAGCCACGTTTCTGTTGCTCGGTGGCACATGTGACTAGTGTCTACGATATTAGAGCAGATTTATAAAACATTTCTGTTACTAGAAAGTTTTTGGATAGTGCTTCTGTAGAACAGTGATCAGCAAACTTTTTATGTAAAGAGCCAGATAGTAAATATTTCAGACTTTACAGGATACATAAGATCTCTGTTACATATTCTTCTTTTATTTTCTTTCATTTTTTTAAAAATAACCCTTTGAAAATGTAAAAACCTTCTTTAGCTCACGTGGCCATATTAAAAACAGGCCTCTGGCTGTAATTTGCCAGCCTCTGTTCTGAAGGATTAAGAACGACCGAGAAAAATCAGAGAACAGCTGCATAGACACCCTCTAACTCGTTCAGAGTAGGACATTGGTCTGATGATGTGAACCCCAGTGTACAAAGTAGCTTGTCCTCATGAAAGCAGTTACAAGTCAAGAAGAATGGGTTGATGATCCCAGCTATGCCATGTCTGTGACCTTGTTCAGGCCTACTTACTCATCTGTAAAAGAAGACATCAGAAGACATGTTAATATTGACTAAAAAGCCAACTGCTGCTTATTTCTCTAAGGAAATACATGTTGGTTATTTTAAAAATTTTGTTGTGAATATATTTTAAATAGAATATTCTTAATGGAGACTTAAGTGCTTTTTAAAATAAGTTGTAATGTGAAGAACACTAAGAGCTTGGACTCTCCTGTCTTTGTTTTGTTTGTTCATTTGCTTTTTAATTATTCCATTCCACTCTTAACTGTTCCTCCTCATTTTTCTCTTCCTTTTTTTCTGCCTCCCTCCCCCCCGCCCCCCATGTATGCCTTGTCAGATTCTTTTTGTGGCACTCAAGCTTATCCTAATACTACCCTTATGTGCCATGAGCCTTCTACCGTAGCTGGTTTATTTGGAGGTAGGTAATAATATCTCTAAAGTTTATCAATTTATTTATGCAGGAGGGAGTTCTTTGTTTTCTTTAAAATGAGGGTTTTTTTTTTTTTTTAATTTGGCTAAGAAAAAATATACTTGCTTTTGAGGAACAGATAATTTTTTCCCTAATTTTGCTTGTCTTAATTAAATACAGGATTGTTTTGTGAGTGGATACTTGTCATCTCCCTACTTTAATCTGTACTCAAAAGGTTCACATTTTCAGAGAAGCTTACAACATTTTATTATTACAAGCTTATGGAATTTAAAGCTCTTTGTATAGTGATAGGACACTAAATAATTTTTTATTTAAACAGTTGTGGCACAGATGTAGGGAGATTCTCCTGGAAATAGGCGTGTTTTGCCAGCACTATGCAAAGGCAGAAGAAACCGGGAACAGTTTCCAGAGAGGCATGGCCATTTTGATACTCATTTCTGTCTTTCCAAACATGTTCTAGGCCAGTGCAGTGATAATGAAACCCCAAATTCCAGCTTATTTTATTCTTTTCTTTTTGGTGCGTAAGAGTTGATTACCTTAGTTCAGTTGGGATTGAAAAGTAGGTTTGACACAAGTGACGAATGAGGCTCTTGACTGGCAGACTTGGGCATGATTAAAAAGATTTAAAAATGGAAATTATGAGGACATTTGATGGAAAGTATATGTTTAGAATTCAGTGAATTTGCATTTGAATTCCTTTTTGAATTCCAGTTCTATGTCCTTACCTGTGTGACTTGAAACAAGTTATTTGACCTTTCTTAAGCCTATGAAAATTGGGATAATAATAACTTACAGGATTGTCATGAGATTTACATATATGACTGTATAAAATCTAGCGCTATGCCTGGTACGTAGAATTATCATTAAAACTACTACAGAAAACTATCTTGTGTATGTAAATCATTTTATATTTGTTATTATTTAATCATCAGATACAGCCTTGAGCACTTTTTTCATTGCTTTTAGACTTTATTAAAACTGCTATGGTTGGGGCGCCTGGGTGGCTCAGTGGGTTAAGCCGCTGTCTTCGGCTCAGGTCATGATCTCAGGTTACTGGGATCGAGTCCCGCATCGGGCTCTCTGTTCAGCAGGGAGCCTGCTTCCCTCTCTCTCTCTCTGCCTGCCTCTCTGTCTAGTTGTGATCTCTCTCTCTCTCTCTGTCAAATAAATAAATAAATAAATCTTTAAAAACAAAAAAAAAAAAACCTGCTATGTGTTCACTTTTTTGGCCCAGCATTTGCTGTGAGAAGCTCAAGAAGTTCATACAACTTTAATAGCAAATAAATATAATTACTATAGCTGTAATAATACAATTTTCTTTTTCTGCCTACTAGTTTATATAAAATGAAATACTTGGGATAAGCTGAAAACCCCTAAAAGATTCTGAAATCAGATAATCTGAGGTTTAAGTCTTGGTTTTGCTACTTAATAAATCTTTGACCTTGAATAACATTGTTTAAGCTCTTTGTTTCCTCATCTGTAAAATGAGGATAATAATGACTATCTCATAGGGTTATTGTGAAGTTTAAATAATACACTGTTTATAAAGCTCTTGCATTAGTGTTTCATAAAGTTTAATAAATAGTAGAAGTTACTTTCACAGAAAGCATGAGATCTAATTTATTATGGAACTACCTCTAAAATCCCTTACCAAAACGGTGTGTTTTTCTGGACTGTATTTGGAATGCCTTTCTGTCCCCAAAGCTTGTTCATCTTGTACCATGCAGTTAATTTATTATCATCCTCCTGATATTTGCTCTGCCAGGCAGTGATTTCTAAATGTTGATCTATGAATTATTGATGGTCAGAGGTGGAGTTTTCACTGGGCCTTGGTGAAGTGAAAGAGTAGGCAGTTCAATGTCATGATTAGTTTATACAGTTAACCTTAACTCAGAACTTGTTCATCTTTTTTTTTTTTTTTTTTTTTTTTTTTTTTTTTTT